AATCCCCAAAATTCCCCAAATCTCCCCAAAATCTGCAGCTGGCCCACGCCAGCGTGGTGGTGTACAGCTACCACTACCTGCTGGACCCCAAAATCGCGGGGCTGGTGTCGGCCGAGCTCGCCCGCTCCTCGGTCGTGGTGTTCGACGAGGCGCACAACATCGGTGAGACCCGAAAGCCCAAAATCCCAAAATATCAACCCCAAAAACCCAAAATATCAACCCCAAAATCCCAAAATCCCAAAATATCAACCCCAAAAACCCAAAATCCCAAAATATCAACCCCAAAATCCCAAAATATCAACCCCAAAAACCCAAAATACCTACCCCAAAATCCCAAAATCCCAAAATATCAACCCCAAAAACCCAAAATCCCAAAATATCAACCCCAAAATCCCAAAATCCCAAAATATCAACCCCAAAAACCCAAAATCCCAAAATACCTACCCCAAAATCCCAAAATATCAACCCCAAAATCCCAAAATCCCAAAATATCAACCCCAAAATCCCAAAATATCAACCCCAAAAACCCAAAATCCCAAAATATCAACCCCAAAAACCCAAACCCTGAACCCCAAAACCCCAAAACCTGAACCCCAAAATCCCAAAATATCAACCCCAAAATCCCAAAATATCAACCCCAAAAACCCAAAATCCCAAAATACCAACCCCAAAATCCCAAAATATCAACCCCAAAAACCCAAAATCCCAAAATATCAACCCCAAAATCCCAAAACCTGGACCCCAAAAACCCAAAACCTGAACCCCAAAAACATGAACCCCAAAAACCCAAAACCTGAACCCCAAAATCCCAAAATATCAACCCCAAAAACCCAAAACCTGGACCCCAAAAACATGAACCCCAAAAACCCAAAATCCCAAAATATCAACCCCAAAATCCCAAAATATCAACCCCAAAATCCCAAAATATGAACCCCAAAAACCCAAAACCTGGACCCCAAAAACATTAACCCCAAAAACCCAAAATCCCAAAACCTGAAGCCCAAAAACATGAGCCCCAAAAACCCAAAACCTGAACCCCAAAATCCCAAAACCTGAACCCCAAAATCCCCAAATCCCAAAATATTCAACCCCAGAAACCCAAAATCCCAAACCCTGAACCCCAAAAACCCAAAACCCGAACCCCAAAATCCCAAAATCCCAAAACCTGAACCCCAAAATCCCAAACCCTGAACCCCAAAATCCCAAACCCTGAACCCCAAAAACCCAAAACCTGAACCCCAAAAATCCCAAAACCTGAACCCCAAAATCCCAAAACCTGAACCCCAAAAAACCCAAACCCTGAACCCCAAAAACCCAAAATCCCAAAACCTGAACCCCAAAAACCTGAACCCCAAATCCCAAAACCTGAACCCCAAAATCCCAAAAACCTGAACCCCAAAAACCCAAAAACCTGAACCCCAAAAACCCAAAATCCCAAAACCTGAACCCCAAAAACCTGAACCCCAAATCCCAAAACCTGAACCCCAAAAACCCAAAATCCCAAAAACCTGAACCCCAAAAACCCAAAAACCTGAACCCCAAAATCCCAAAATCTGAACCCCAAAAACCCAAAATCCCAAAATCTGAACCCCAAAAACCCAAAATCCCAAACCTGAACCCCAAATCCCAAAACCTGAACCCCAAAAACCCACCCCAAACCCCAAAAATCCCAAAATATTCAACCCCAAAATCCCACTCGGAACCCCAAAAACCCAAAATCCCAAAATATTCAACCCCAAAAACCCCAAAAATCCCAAAATATTCAACCCCAAAAACCCAAAAAATCCCAAACCCCAAACCCCAAAAATCCCAAAACCCATTTTTTTGGGATATTTTTCGGGTGGGTTGGGGACAGTTTTTGGGTTGTTTTTGGGGTTTTTGGGGTTTTTGGTGGGTGTTTTTGGGGTTTTTTGGGTGGTTTTGGGTGGGTTTTTTGGGATATTTTTCGGGTGGGTTCGGGACGTTTTTTGGGTTATTTTTGGGTGTTTTGGGGGTTTTTGGTGGGTGTTTTTGGGTGTTTTTGGGGGTTTTGGGGGGTTTTTGGGTGGGTTTTTTGGGATATTTTTTGGGCGGGTTCGGGACGTTTTTTGGATTATTTTTGGGGTTTTTGGGGTTTTTTGGGTGTTTTTGGGTGGGTTTTTTGGGGATATTTTTCGTGCGGGTTCTGGATGTTTTTTGGGTTATTTTTGGGTGTTTTGGGTGTTTTTGGGGTTTTTTGGGTGTTTTTGGGTGGGATTTTTGGGGATATTTTTTGGGCGGGTTCGGGACGTTTTTTGGGTTATTTTCGGGCGATTTTGGCCGTTTCTGACCCTCTCCCCCCGGCAGACAACGTGTGCATTTTGTGGGGTTTTTGGGGTTATTTTTGGGTGTTTTTGGGGTTATTTTTGGTGTTTTTTGGGTGTTTTTGGGTGGGTTTTTTGGGGATATTTTTCGGGCTGATTCTGGACGTTTTTTGGGTTATTTTTGGGGTTTTTGGCCGTTCTGACCCTCTCCCCCCGGCAGACAACGTGTGCATTTTGTGGGGTTTTTGGGGTTATTTTTGGGGTTATTTTTGGTGGTTTTTGGGTGTTTTTGGGTGGGTTTTTTGGGGATATTTTTCGGGCGGGTTCTGGACGTTTTTTGGGTTATTTTTGGGGTTTTTGGCCGTTCTGACCCTCTCCCCCGGCAGACAACGTGTGCATCGAGGCCATGGGCGTCAGCATCACCCGGCGGGCGCTCGACCGCTGCCAGGCCAACGTGGCCGCGCTGCAGAGCCACGTCCGGCGGTCGGGGTCAAAGGGCACCGGGTCAAAGGGCACCGGGTCAAAGGGCACGGGTTTGGGTCAAAGGGCACCGGGGGTTCAAAGGGCACCGGGAGTC